AAAAAGGCATCTGAACCTCTGATCCTGCACATTACTAAAGGCAGGGACACCTGTCAAACATGAAACATCTGAAGACATGAGAACAACTTTTGATGGATTGAAAAATTGAACATGCTCAAGGAACAAAATCCCAACTCATAACCATAATGTTATCTTCTAACAAGGGAAATAACCAACTTGTCACTTAAATTAGACTTATTACGGTGATTACTTCCCTTTAGTCACATGGCGAGGCGTTAATTAATTGTTTTGTGAAAAAAAGGAAAAAAACGTGAAAAAAAACGCTAGGAATCCCAAATTATGCAAATGTTGCAAAATTACACCAAAAAATGCACAATCGCAAAATCCTACGGAGACAGAACTATAATAAAGCTCGCCATTGACTTGCCAAATGAAAAATACGATCATCGAACGAGAACCTCTATTACCAGTTCTGGCATATATTCAATAGATATGCCAACTTCTACGAGCTAAGCCAGTTCTCATATTCTCATTCTTTGGGAAACACAAACATGTATAGCATACAAACAAGAATGTATAAGTGTATAGGCTTAACGCCCTTATCAACATGATTAAGTTATTTAAGAGGCAGGACCTCCAAATTGAATATCCGTCTCCGACAGGACTGAGCCAAATGGGTTGAGAACCTTGAAAACACCACAAAACTACCAGAGTTCAAGAATGCTCAATCTGGGTTCAAACGAGGGCCATCCGCTTTGCAGTCCAGTGGGACCAACTGAGCTACCATGACGCCCCTCATAAACAAGGTCATCATGGGACAAGAATCATTTTCAGTTTTAGTTTTAGTAAGGTTTTACGGCGCTCGCAACTGCATAGGGTCATATGAATATGAGCGCCAAGGGGTGGATGTCAACAAAGAAATCAAAACGGAGAATGAGGCTTACTCTGCTCACCTCTCTAGCCTCAACAGCACAAAGTCTGCTTCGACTATCAAGGCACCCCGGAAATAGTACTTCACAAGAGAGAGACAAACATACAAAAGAAGTGATAGATGGCTATTTTTTTCTCATCTAAAGCAGGGCAAATGAATTAGTTTTTAGATGATACCAATAACTCTCATACATGCCCAAAAATTGACGAACGCCTGATACCACCACGTCGTGACACATATAGTTTGCCCCAGTTGGTATCTTTGTCACTTTTTTGGTAAGTGTTTTACGGCGCTCGCAACCGCATAAGGTTATATGAGAGCGCAGGACACATTCAACCTTTTCAGTTGGTACGAATTTTGTAATTTTGCTCTGGTGGCAGCCAAAGCCTACTCTTATCAATTTTAGACCACCTAGGGATCTTTAAAATGTGCGCAACTTGCACACGAGACTTTCAAGATTTTTTGCCCTTGTCCGAGAAGACTAGGTGTACATCTTTCCTAAAATAAGATCAGGGGTGTGGCAGAAAGACAGCAGTAAGAAGGAGCCAAGGAGTAGCAGTAGAAGGGCTGCAGAAAGAGTCAGGAGCCCAGAGGAAGGAGACAAAGGAGGTGAGGGGGTGGGGGGCACCAGTTGGTGTCGTGCTAGGCTACGGTGCTGATGACACTGGTCTGAATCCCCAAAGCAGCATTCTTGAACTTGATCCGTTTTCTTCTATGGAATCTTCACGGCACTCTACACATTATTTGGCACTTACATGACCTAATTGTGTTGCAAGTGCCGTAAAACTCTTTCTAAAACTAAACTAACTCTACACTTTTTGGCTCAGTCCTTTCTCAGAATGGTAGTCAATTCAGAAGTATTCACTTTACATTTTCTATTGCAGTTAAGCGTCAACGGGAGATGAACTTTTCTATGGTAGGCCAACTCAGCAGCTTTTTTCATTGAGATAACATAATTCCTCAGAGCCCCCTTGACTATCCTAATCCACCTTTTGCATGGCCAACCTCTTCTATTATAGCCTAAGTACTTGGTGTTATAGACTCTCGAGGCTGGCAGACCAGGTGACATTCATAACAGGTGCAATGCCCAAACCATTTTATTCCCTGCTTTTCTACGAAATGCAAGCAGGACTCAGTGCCAACAGCTGCTCTCACTTCTTCATTTCTCTGCCTGTCTCATCTTGGGATATTCAGGGTTTTGCGGAGACATTTCATTTCACATACAGTGATTTTGCTTTTCTGGATTTTACTTAATCTCCAGGTCTGGCACCGGTAGCATAATTTTGGCATGAATATTGAAGAGATAAGCTGTCTCTCTTTTAAAAAAATTTTTTTTATAGTAGAGGGTTTTATGGCGCTCGCAACTGCATAAGGTCATATGAGCGCGCGGGACAAACCTAATACTTTTAGTTGGTAGGAAATTTTGAATTTGGCCCGGGTGGCGGCCGAAGCCTACTCTTATCGATTTTAGACCACCAGGGGATCTTTAACGTGCGCAACTTGCACACGGGCCCTCCGAGATTTTTTGCCCTTGTCCGAGAAGGCTAGGTGTAGATCTTTCTTATCAGAAGATCAGGGGTGTGGCAGAAAGACAGCTGTAAGAAGGAGTCAAGGAGTAGCATTAGAAAGGCTGCAGAAAGAGTCAGGAGCCCAGAGGAGGGGGCAAAGGAGGTGAGGGGGTGGGGGCAGAAAGAGGAGATGAAAGCAGACGACAGAATATTGAGAGCCGGAAAGGAGGTGGTGAAAGGAGACAATTTTAGAGAAGAAAATTTTTCTGTCGCTACCCGGATTCGAACCCGGGACCTTTGAATGAGAGGCCAACACCTTAACCTCTAGACCACGAGAGTCCCCGCTGTCTCTTTGTGTCCATGGAGATGCTTTGATGAGATAGAAAGGGTGTGAGTCGATAGGTGATGGTGTTGGCTTTTTTGAGTTCTTAAATAGCTTTAAAGTGTTGAAAGGGGGGGTTGAACCCGCACAGTAACCAGTTATAAGTCAGGATCAACGCCGTGGATCAAGCCTTCGGTATTTCTGTAAAACGAAGCGACCATCATGCCGTAATAGCTGGGATGGTGGTTGACCCGCAGGCTCGGTTTCCATGACGACAGACCACACCTCTGAAATATAACGACAGGAAATGTAAATGTTTTCAAGCTCCATCAACAATACATACAGTTTCTATCACTCGTGAGGCAGGAGCTGAAAGGAAAAAATGGAAAATTTACCAATACCCTTGTATAAAAAACAGGGTGCTGCACAGTGGTAACCAGTTATAGAGTGAAGGTAAGAATATTTGTATTGGTATAATATACGTATTACCTGTATAACCTGTCCTGGGCAACAACGTCATTGCACACCGGACAGGTCCATAAGTGCTCAGTTCCCCTTCACTTGTTTTTATTTGATTGAAAAAAATATCCATTTATCTTGAATAAAAGTCGAGATATTTGTGAATGAAGGAGGTGGGGGTCACCTGTTTTCAGAGGTAAAATTAGTGAGAAAATGGCCGCCAAAGATTAATTATCTCCTTCGCTTAAGAGTCCGTGGTAACTAAAACTTTACATTTTTTGTGCCTTTAATCAACGTTTTTCTGAAAAATCCAAACATAAATGAATTCTTTATGGGTCTGAAAGGTGTTGAGCCAAAAAACAAAAATTTGATGAAAATTCACAAACCTGCGGAAAAATGCAAGTTTTTTTACTTTGATTATTTTGACGAGAGCCTGATTCCACCATGCTGCCTCACAAATGGAAAATTTACTATTACCCTTGTATAAAAAACAGGGTGCTGCACAGTGGCAACCGGTTATAGCGTGAAGGTAAGAATGTTTGTATTGGTATAATATACGTATTATGTTGCATTGATGAATTATTGTATTTACATACGTATGTTATCTTTGTATGCCATTGTACACCAAATGTTCTTGAAGGAAAAGAATAATAGGGGACTTTTGTTCATATTTGAAAATGTCATCGCGTCTATCTGTCACCGCAGGATTATGCGATTGTGCGGCCGCGTTTTTTCACATAAATCTGCAACATCAATTTGCATAATTTTGGACTCCCCACGTTTTTTCACTTTTTTTTTGGTTTGTTTTTCATGTTTCACAAAACAATTATAATGTACGCCTCGCCATGTGACAAAAGGGAAGTAATCACAGTAATAAGTCTCATTTAAGTGACAAGTTGGTTATTCCCCTTGTTAGAAGATCTTGGTTAATGGTTATGGGTTAGGGATTTTGTTCCTTGAGCATGTTCACTTACAATCCATCAAAAGTTGTTCTCATGTCGGCTGATGTCTCATGTTTGCCATGTGTCCTAGGTTTAAGTGATGTGCCAGCATCAGAGGTCCAGATGTCGTTTTTACAAAAAAATTTATAAACCTTTTTCTTTCCTCTATAGATCTAGATAGAAGATCTACAGCTGAAAGTTACAGAGATTTTTTTAATTTTTTAAATTATTTTTTTTTACTTACAGATGTGTATTGTTTTCTTTTCCAAATACACAACAAATTACTGGTACTGATAAGTTCTGTTTTCAATTTTCCTGTACATAAAACTTGAAAATCATGAAACTTCGCGTTGAAAAAGTGCAAAACATGCCGTGAATGGTGTTACGGTAACTTGCATAATTTTTGCATAATTTTGCTTTTTTGTGCATAATTTGGCCTTCTAAATTTGCATAATTCTACGGGGACAGACTTATAATCGATCAAAAGTTGTTCTCATGTCGGCCGATGTTTCATGTTTGCCACGTGTCCTAGGTTTAAGTGATGTGCCAGCATCAGAGGTCCAGATGTCTTTTTCTTTTTTTTTTCTTTCCTCTATAGATCTCCAGCTGAAAGTTACTTAGATTATTATTTTTTTTTTTTCTGACGGATGTTTATTGTTTTCTTTCCAAATACACAACAAATTACTGATACGGATAATATGTTCTGTTTTCAATTTTTCAGTACATAAAACAAGAAAATTCTTGTTGAAAAAGTGCAAAACATGTCGCGAATGGCATAATTTTGCATTTTTCTTGCATAATTTGGCCATATAAATTTGCATAATTCTGCAGGGACAGGTCTATGGAAGAAGGATTTTGTCTGAAACATTCAACGCATATTTCTTTGGGGTTTTTTTTAAAGGATTTAAATTCAACTGTCTTGCGATTGTGTCCAGGATGGTGAGAGATTTCAGTTATTAGCTTCTATAACAGTCATTGCAGCACTGACAGCATTGTTCAACGACTATAGAGGCAAGACTGAGGGAAACTGGTGTCTCTAGAGGGTCGGGGAGGGACAGCAACCTGCTTGGAAAAGCCAGAAAAATATCCAACCAGCTGATAACTAGCACGATCAGCAAGCCAACCCTTTCATAGATCCCAGAGAGGAGAGAGGAGTAGCTATGATATTGTTAGAACAATTGTAAAGTCTGCAATGATTACTATTCTTCAACCAAGTAACCTGCAATGATTCCTAATCTCGAAAAAAGTAACAATGATATCTATTCTCCAACATAATAACCTGCAATGATACCTATTCTCTAGTAACCTGCAATGATACCTATTCTCTAGTAACCTGCAATGATACCTATTCTCTAGTAACATGCAATGATACCTATTCTCTAGTAACCTGCGATGATACCTATCCTCCAACCAAGCAACCTGCGATGATACCTATTCTTCCACTTAGTAACCTGCGATGTTATCTATTCTTCCACTTAGTAACCTGCGATGATACCTATCCTCCAACCAATTAACCTGCAATGATACCTATTCTCCAACCTAGTAACCTGCGATGATACCTATTCTCCAACCTAGTAACCTGCAATGATACCTATTCTTCCACCCAGTAACCTGCAATGATACCTATTCTTCAACCTAGTAACCTGCAATGATACCTATTCTCCAACCTAGTAACCTGCAATGATACCTATTCTCAAACCAAGTAACCTGCGATGATACCTATCCTCCAACCAAGTAACCTGCGATGCTATCTATTCTTCCACCTAGTAACCTGCGATGATACCTATCCTCCAACAAAGCAACCTGCGATGATACCTATCCTCCAACCAAGCAACCTGCGATGATACCTATCCTCCAACCAAGCAACCTGCAATGATACCTATTCTTCCACTTAGTAACCTGCGATGATACCTATCCTCCAACCAATTAACCTGCAATGATACCTATTCTCCAACCTAGTAACCTGCGATGATACCTATCCTCCAACCAAGCAACCTGCGATGATACCTATCCTCCAACCAAGCAACCTGCAATGATACCTATTCTTCCACTTAGTAACCTGCGATGATACCTATCCTCCAACCAAGTAACCTGCAATGATACCTATTCTTCTACTTAGTAACCTGCGATAATACCTATCCTCCAACCAAGTAACCTGCAATGATACCTATTCTCCAACCTAGTAACCTGCAATGATACCTATTCTCAAACCAAGTAACCTGCGATGATACCTATCCTCCAACCAAGTAACCTGCGATGCTATCTATTCTTCCACCTAGTAACCTGCGATGATACCTATCCTCCAACAAAGCAACCTGCGATGATACCTATCCTCCAACCAAGCAACCTGCGATGATACCTATTCTTCCACTTAGTAACCTGCGATGATACCTATCCTCCAACCAATTAACCTGCAATGATACCTATTCTCCAACCTAGTAACCTGCGATGATACCTATTCTCCAACCTAGTAACCTGCAATGATACCTATTCTTCCACCCAGTAACCTGCAATGATACCTATTCTTCAACCTAGTAACCTGCAATGATACCTATTCTCCAACCTAGTAACCTGCAATGATACCTATTCTCAAACCAAGTAACCTGCGATGATACCTATCCTCCAACCAAGTAACCTGCGATGCTATCTATTCTTCCACCTAGTAACCTGCGATGATACCTATCCTCCAACAAAGCAACCTGCGATGATACCTATCCTCCAACCAAGCAACCTGCGATGATACCTATTCTTCCACTTAGTAACCTGCGATGTTATCTATTCTTCCACTTAGTAACCTGCGATGATACCTATCCTCCAACCAATTAACCTGCAATGATACCTATTCTCCAACCTAGTAACCTGCGATGATACCTATCCTCCAACCAAGCAACCTGCGATGATACCTATCCTCCAACCAAGCAACCTGCAATGATACCTATTCTTCCACTTAGTAACCTGCGATGATACCTATCCTCCACCCAATTAACCTGCAATGATACCTATTCTCCAACCTAGTAACCTGCGA